AACAGAAATAATGGCACTGTGTAAGTTGAGTATGGTGGATTTCTTTTCATGATGTGACATTCCATTAATTCAAAGCACGATAATGAACTGTATAGAAACTTTTAATTTTGCTACTATTGCTTTAATTTAAATTTTAACATTTGAGATGCAATAGTCGTTCTAATGAAAAGTCGACAACCTTGTAACACTACATATTTAAAAATGACAAGCGTCACTTTATGGACGTAATTAAGGCCCATAATAATAATTCAATGTTCTTAAGAAAACAAGTGCGGAAATGTGGGTAGAACTGTAATCAAAAATGAGATATATATGTTTCTTTTTTAAATAAGTCAAAGTAAATAACATGACCTCCGAGTCAACAAGTCTCGGAATAACGATAAATACTAAAACATATCACTGTTATCACTTATCTACCCTTTTTTCCGGACAAGGCTAATTCTTTTCAGTTTTCTACATGAATTCACATAACACATTAAGTTCAAAATTTGAAGTGAAATGTGTAGGTTTTAACCAGATTGTTTTACGTCCTTTCAATCTTCACTACGTGTGCCAAGCTACATGTCATTTGGAGAATAACAGTAAACAAGGTGTAATTCAAAAATTTTTAAAAATTTATTTTCATAAAGGTTCAAACTCCTCGCCACTTACCTCTTTTTCACTTGCCTTATATTGCATAATATTCCAGGGGTCACCTGCGTGCACGCTTGGAGTATCCGTTGCCGTAAATAAGAGATGTGGGATACATTTCCGATTTCACATAATCCCCACAGAAAAAAATCAGTAGACCGAGGTCCGGACACCATGCTGGCCACTTTATGGCTCCGCACCTACCGCCCCACCGACCCGTATACATTACTGTCGTCACCGATTCGCCATCATCATCATTATTGTTTATTTTTTTGGTGACACATGGTATTATTAATTATTAATTGTAGATCCATCACTGACCCGGAAATGAACTACGTTTATTATTACTATTAAAGCACATGCAAGAATAAACTAATCACTTTGATTCTGTAATATTATGTGGTATAACAAACTGGTTTAAGGTTATTTAGAGAAAACTTTGCCCGCCCTTGTGATACAGTCCAACTAAAATTATAAAATTTTATTTTAGTTTGCTAATAACTTCTATAAATTAAAAAATATAGATAACAGTCGTCACAGTTTATGAAAAAATCAAGCCCCATGAGCGGTTCAAGTCGAGGACGTTACTCGCTGTGCTAAATAATGATTCCCGTACCGCTTATACTAATATAAAAGGTTAAATGCAGAGTTTGGTTTTTTGCGAAAATTTGAATGGTTAGACCAAATACCCAAGGCGGATTCATAAACCGCATGTACAAAAGTATGTTATTGTAAAAATTTTCATAATATCAGTTTTTGGAACTAGTGCTTTGAAGTAGTTTTTACTCATTAAATTTGCTCGAGGTATTTGCCAGTAAATACATTCAAATACATAGTTCAGAACAACTAGTGTTAGAGTTTCTAATTAGTAATAACATCTAGATTGTGTTGTAATTCGTCTTTCAAGTATACTATTCAATCTATCTTTTTAGCATGAGTTCGTGAGGATAGCACTTTTTGGAGACCACGTTGAACGTCTTTACTGTCGCTGTATTTCTGGCCTCTAAAAGATTTTTAAATTTTTGTAAAATAAATTTAAACCCCATCTTGCACTTCTAAAACAATGTGGCGGCGCCTTGTCTTGCTGAAACAATAGGGGCTGAGGAAATTAATCTTTTGGTACTTTTAAAACAAATCGATCAAATTCAACGTTAGTGTGGACTTGTGTACATCTTTCCATAAAATATATTCTTTCGCCACTAGAACAAATGCGGTAGATACAACTGGAAGTCAGCGTTATCCGTTGTGTTATCATTATCAGTTCACAGAACTATATATAAGCGTCTGTCTGGATCATCTTCCGTTAGCAGCCATGGAAGTATCACATGTTGAAGCAGTAGAAATTGTTCACGATTCTGTCTGTTTTTAATTTGTCTACTAATTCCTGGTACTTTAGACGAAAAACATCTAGAATGAAGTGTGTTCAAAGACAAAACTATCCGTCTCATGTAAATTTTCATTTACTGCTGCATTGCAGCATGTTTATTTTTCAGCAGAATGTGTCATGTTAGTCTAAGTAAGTTACGACATAACATTCCATGCCTAAGAGAGAAAATGACACAGCCATTTTTATTTAGTTAAAATAAGTGAAGAATGGAATTTGGGAATTGTTTCAAAAATTTGGACAAATGTGTTAAACTTGAGAAAAATCATAATAAGGGTGTTTAAGTGAACCGTGATAAAACCTCCCACATCATTTAACACTTTTAAGATAACGTTTCTTGTTAATTCACACCTCACTCCAAACGGGTTTTTTTAGCATTAAGCATATTACATGTAGTTTACCTATGTCAAATTTTGTTCTTCTATTCGCAGTCGGTTAAAAACCAATTTTTGATTTTTGAGAAGCACTTTGTTTTAAATGCCTAACTTAAAAACACTCTAGTGTAACTTTGTATATACGTCATAGAAAACTATAACTTTATTTATATTTTGATGTTCTTGTTCCAATCGTATCAAATAAATTGAATTATTTATCAAGAATTGAAGATTTTCATTAATCCACCAAAATTTCGTTTTACACTGTGTATCCATTAACGATAAGGGTTAGAATTGGTACAATGTTCGCTTACGCGAATGAACCATGTAGTGTTTGTTTTACTGTTGTCCAAACTCAATTCATACACCATACATAACTACAAGTAGTAAATTACGCAGACAATGCATTTTTATTTAACAATTAACAGTTTTAAACTTTCTCTTGTCGATGTAATCGATATGAAAAGCACTATTACTATATTAAAAGTATAGTTTAGTAATAAATCTTAATGTAATATGAACAACATAATGCCGTAGGAGAGAAACATATCACACAAATTTGATATATCTTTTAATACTGTTCTACCGTTGATAACATCTGCAATTTTCAAAAAGCTAGAATGTGCCTTTGTTGCGACACTGCATTTTACGACATTTTATTTTTCTTCTTACGATTTCCATTAAACTGGAACTGGAAACGTGCGTTAGTGTTAATTATGTAAACATGCACAACACACCGACATTTATTGTTCTGCATTGCAATAAGACTTGGACAATGCTCTGACATATCTACATGCAGTAAAATAATCAACCGTGTTGATATTGAAGACTGGAAATTTGTCATTTACAGCAAAATACATATTCAAATGAGTTGATTTAATTTGTTTATTGTGATATATGTGTTAAGTACAGTGGGACTAACATCAGTGTAAAAGAAACAATAAAAAGTAACGCGATTGAGAAAGTACAGCACTAGTGACTGAATCACAGCCATGACTCCTCATCGCTTTCAACAAAATATATGATTCACAAGAAGATAAAAAGTGGTCGCTTGAATAACGTAAACTCAAACCACTCTACAAATAAATTCGATATTCTAAAAACGCGTTATTAGCTTGAAAAACAAGTTTATTTCTAGAATTTCGATAACAACTGCTGATAAAACCTTCTTTCTCATTGGCTGGAGACTTCTCCCGAATCTCGCTTTCGTCGTTCCGTACCGACTGTACCAAACCAATTTTTTTAACCCTCAAGTGCCCCATCAATAATCCCTTTTTGGTGGCATATGTTATCAGGGGACTTATCTCACCCCTTGGTAATTCGACCGTAAGTTATACGGGTATCACCTTCGTTGTAAAACTTGATAATGGCCAAATTGAGATGAATAATTGGTCACTTACGGAATCGGAGGGTCGCGTGCGTCGAAAAATCACACGACCAACCAACCCTCTATTATCAGCCATGTGGACGCATACGGGTTGCATCCCTTATGCGGGTACACACCCCTGCGATTACAAAATAAACACTCCCAACTGTTCAATGAATTTCACGCTGAACCCACTTGTTGGTGGTTTCCCATGATTATGTAACAGTTTTTCTATGGATGGTACTTCAAACGTGTTTTTAATGAGAATCAATAACAAAATTAATTGCAGTAAGAATAGGGGTTATACCGTAATTAAATTCTTGACGTTGTTCTAGAGTGACTAATTGAGTGATTTGGGAAACAAAGTGGCTGCTCAGCAGTGAATAAAATTGCAATCATTTTCGCAGGCAAAGGAAACACAAAGCGAATTATGATATGAGTAATTTATCGTGACATTGCTATACATCCTCTTTTCAAAACTGAATTAAAAATAAACACGAAGTCCAAGGTTTTCAACATGTTAATTGTTGCTAAAAATGATTCACCTGATACATAACAATAATTTATGTTCCACCGACAGCAAATTTACATTTTACCACTTTTAGTCCTGGTTGATAAAAAAACTGCAGTCATTTTGTGACGAGTTTTGCACTCCTAAGTGTTTAATTATGAATATAATTATTTTTAATCAGCAGGAGCTTGTACGATACAGTGGATAAAGTTTTAAAATAATACAGATGCCTAAAATGTAATATAATCACGATTTCCTGAGAAATTTATATAGTGCTGCCATCTTACGTACAGTGTTCCAATCTTAAACTATGTTTTTGTTTGAAATTGTTTAATTAATATTTTAGTCTGTGAATTTTACGAATTGGTTTCTTTCTTCATCTGAACTTGTAGATTAATGCAATTGAGTTGAAAAATTTAGTTTAAAAAACTATATTTTGAAGTCGATATCGATACTGATTTTACCGACCTTTTAGTTCATCATTCTACCGTTCGGTGGCGTGTGTGTGTTTTGTCAGCTACGTCAAACGTCAAATATTAAAATCAGAAACATGTAGACCTGTTCTGTGATGTAGACATAATAACAAGTTAGTTTTGTAAATACGTTGTAACCTATATTTTTCAGTTCCTAAATGTTGTAGTTTGTTTTATTTCATACTTACTGAGTCAAGTGAGTAGTAAGAAAAATGTGCGCATCAAATCAAACTACTACATAATCTTTATTTGTGTGTTTAAGGTCTGTGAGTATTGGAAGTTTGGACTCCACAGCATGGCCCCACAACTGCATCCTGGTGATCGAGTCCTAATCGAAATTCCAGGTCGAGAAATATACGAAGGCACCGTCCAATACGTTTCACCTCGAAGCATAGAATTATATGACATTTTTTGTCAGAAAACAAATACACCCTATCATGGGAGTATGACCTTTTATCATAATGAAATATTAAGTTGTTCTCACATACAAAGTGTTCCTAAACCAAGTGAGCCAACGGCTGTAAATGGGACAACGTTTGATGCATCTAAAAAAATTGAAATGGATCCAGATGAATTTCATCGATTGAGGCAGATGACTTTCAATTATGTTTTTGTGAATACGTTTGGAAAGTCCTTTGATGAGGCCTATGAACAGTTGTCTGACAGAGAAGCCGTAGCTGTAGTTGGTTTAGGTAATACTTTTGTAAGGGGAAAGGGACTGAGTTTATTGTTAATAGCAGACTTTAAGACAGTTTATATTTTTGATATATTCTGCTTGGGCAAACTGGGACATTTACAAGACATTTTAGAGTCTACTTTTATCTGCAAAGTACTACATAATGGCTCTGCTTTATATGATTGCCTTTATCATAAGTATAAAGTTGAAATGCAAAACGTCTTTGATACAAAGGTAGGAAATCATAAGTTGAATATTAATTATACTTAAAGTTCATTTTTCAGATTGTAGATAACAGAATATCTTCAGAAAAAAATACCAACCAAAATATAAGTGAATGTTTAACAAAACATTTTAATTTTCCACCATCCTTGCTTTCAGCAGCTATTGTAAGTACCACAACATTACAACATTTGGTGTTAATTGTTTGTTACTTTTAGGATGATATGACGGATAAAATATGGCATGAGAGACCAGTTATAAAGAGCAGCAATATTAAGGCAGCCCAGTTAGTTGTCTATCTACTACCTTTGAGGGATAAGCTGATGTCACATATTATGAAAAACTTTACTGATGAAATTACTGCCGAGTATGTTAAGTACAAGAAAATCACGGATGCCGAATTACTGAAATTTAAAACGTAATTTTGTATTGTCTATTTTTATGCAGTTCAGATGTTTATCTGTTCCCATTTTAAGTCCTGAGGTTGTGAATAAAACTTTGTATATTTATAATTTTTACACAAAGCAGGTGGAGTTCTGTTTGGTTTTTAATGAAAATTTAAAAGTTTTTCTAGGTTTGGATGAACAAATACCAAATTTGTGTAAAATTAATTATTATTTAAAATTTTAATTCAAGCTTATTTGGTAAGATTATGTTCCACAATTAATCATATGTTTAATTTTAATTAATTTTTTTCTTTGAAAGATTAACCTGGATGAATTAAATTTTAAAGCAACGGACAGCATACGTTGACCTTTTTCCACACTTCCGACATGGTTTGTTTTATTGTGATAGTTATAAGTAAATGTTAAATCAAAAAAATGTAATTATGTACTTAACGGGAATAATAACAGTAAAATAATTCCCATCTTTTGCAAAATGTGTTGGAAAAAGCACTATCTGCGGAAAAATGTTAATTTGGTAAAACGTGACAGCACAGAAATAAAACATATGATTTGTTGCGATATTTTTTGTATGTTAATTATGTAGTCAGAGAACGTGTTACAAATGAGTAGTAATCTTAGAATTTCGTAATTTATTCATGAAACGCACTGCCACTTTCTGAAAATTTGGTTTGTAACAGTAACAAATAATTTATTTACTTTTATATGAATTTAATTTGAAATTTCTTTAAATCTGAGGAAAGCTTTATAAAATTTACTGTTAAATAAATGAATGAAGTTTTATTTTTACAATGTTACAAGCTAAAGTTATGTATGAGAAAACGTTTTTTACTATTATTTTTTTCAAAATGGCTATCTTTCGCAGATGGTTGTGAAAATTATATAAAATTGGCAATCAAGTTTAGTAATTTTGAAATTATGATTTTTTTTTTGACGAATTTTTTTTCTTTGCGTTTTTTTTTTAAATCATCATTTTGTTACTCTATTGTAACTAGAGCTAAGTAAAGGTAGGTGTGCACAGTCATGGCCTACTGCGTCGACAACCATTCTGAAATGTTATGTGCTTATACTAAACTTGCTGAACAGATGCAACTATCAGGTGAACAGGCGTGCTAAAGCCTCGTTGAATCTGCCGAGGCTTGAAGACATGTGTCTATGCGGTAGGAACGCTTGGTTCATTGATCGTCCGCTTTTATTACTACATCTGTTCGGTGATACAAGTATAGTGGAAAATAATTTATTTTGTGTTGTATTAAGTTTGCTGTGAAATAATACTTCCTTTGCTTACGCTCAGGAAGTAAAAAACAGTGTATATTGAGAAAATATAAATATGTTTTTGTTATTCTGTCTTATTTCATTTTTACTTCGATATCCACAAATTGTAGAGGTTTCTGTTAAGAGAATGTTTAATTGCACAGCTAATGAAATGAACGAAAATTTATCATCGTGAGATATGATATTAAAATGCATTATATATTTTTAGAAATCAGTTTTAGAAGCTATGGGCGAAATTTCAGCAGGAAGTGTTACACGATGAACCTTTTATGCAACACAAAATACATCACTTGTAGCAAATTTTAAACTAAACAAAATTTAAGAGTTTATATTCTCGCTTCTAGACCGTAATTTTTAATTTACGACAAATAAACAACGAAAAGACTGACATGATTTAGTTTTGACGTTTATTTCCAAATTATTTTCAAAACCAAACAGCTAATTTTATTATGTTTCAATTAAAAAAGTAATAATCACAGCTGTAGTTCTATTGTCGGTTGCGTTTTGACATTTTTGCGTTGTGAATAACGTTGTATATCTGCAAAAAAAATTGGTCGAAAGTTGTTTCGACAGAACTTCTCTCGCTCCTAAAGTACAATCAAACATATGCAGCATTCTCGAGTGTTTATTTATGTTTATACATTGAAAGAATGTCACGTAGAAATTAGTTTGACTTGAATTAAACCACAATCGAGCAAAATGATCTGAATATTATAATTCTTATTTTCTCATTATTATTATAAAGACGAGTTTTTCACAATTTCGAGAAAATGGGGTGACTCGTTCTTAATTTGACCAATAAAAAATTGGTAATGAAGTCATCAACATGGATAATACTAGTCACAGCACAAAAAAAAAGTAGTTGCAGCGTATTACAATGCAATAAAAAAAGAGTAAACAACCAAATTCGGCATATCGCACGGTTTCGTTGAACATCCCTGCGTTGTCGGCTCGCCATTGCGCTGCGGCGACTTCTGTATGGTGTTGGTAATATAAACGTATTGAACCTTGGGATTATTTTTGCGAAAATTTGAACGTTTAGCGCAAAAACTGAAAACGGATTCGTACACTACAAGTATAGGAGTATATTGTTTTAAAACATTAAAATTATTTTAACATACGATTCAATGAAATGACGTCATCAAATTGTTGGTGGGGATGATTATCCAAATTTTGGGTAGTATTTAACCATCTACATGATATTTCTAATATACATACAAAGTTTGACAACAATCAGTCCAGCACTTTCGGAGATTACTTGTCTAATAAAAATGGATACAGACACCAGACAGACAGACGGAAACGGGAGATTACTTTTTTCGTACTGTAGGGGTCATGAAACATCCAGAAAACATAAAAGTGGCACTTCGTCCGATGGACTCGATTATATACTATACTTACTTAGCTTAGGCTCGGGAAGTAAAAATTTGGTCGAAGGTTGCTTCGCCAGAACTTCCCTCGCCCCTGAAGTACAATGAAGCATATCCAAGATTTTCGAAAAATTGTAAAATTTGATTTTGCTAATTTTATTTTTTTTATGAGAACTCCTATAAGTTGAAATAAACATATGTATGAAAAGTTAGCTACGGGTATGTTTCAAATGAGTTTTTACTTTACAAAATTATGTGATGCGTTATCAGCATTTATGAAAGGACACGTATGCCAACTTGGATCGATGCAATGTAATACTAATAATATTTTGTATTCCCAAATTTAACCAGTAAAATAAACTGACGCATTCATTAATTTTTTTGAGTCACCTGTATAAACAAATCTAAAAAATATGAATGTAGTGAAAAAGCACAAGTAAAAATATATCACATTTTGTACATTTTAGGTAGAATTATTCGGCAAAATTTTGCGATGCCGTCATCATTTTTGGGGGGAAATAAACATATACATTTTGATTAAAAATTTATCATACTTATGATGACTTTAAAACGTCTGCAGGATTTCAAAACATGTGGTTTTGCAGTTCCTGATTTAATCAATATAAAATACATTGACTCATTATGAATATGAATATGAATGGAATGATAAATCACAAATATAGACTCATCATATTTTGCTCATTTCAAATTTTGAGGTGACGTCACCAATTTTTTGAGGGAATAAGCAAATATATTTTGATTAAAAATTTACCATGTTTTTGATAACTTTGAAATATCTGCAAGATTCCAAAGCATTCGGTTTTGCAGATTCAAAATTAAATTGCAAAATGTTGTTATATACGTTTGATTTTTTTCTCCAAAAATCTGAACGTTTCGAGTAAAAACTCACTACGGAGTCATAAACTACATGTGTAGGACTATGTTATTTCATACAATTTAAAACCAATTTACTATGTGCAATTTTGAAGTGACGTCATCACATTATTGGTGGGGATGACTAGACAAATTTTGGTTAGCGTTTTACCATCTACATGATATTCCTAATATAAATACAAAATTTGGTAATAATGAGCTCAGTACTTTCGGAGATTATGTGTAATAAAAATTCGGGACGACAGACAGACTGACAGACGGAAACGGGAGACCTATTTCTTCGTACTCTAGGGGTCATGTTAGGTCGAGAAAACGTAAAAGTAGAAAGTCGGCCGACGGACTCGATTGCAATACGTTCTTTGCTTACGCTCGGGAAGTAAAAATGAAAACATTTTGCAATTTAATTTGGAATCTGCAAAACTGAATGCTTTGATATATTGCAGATGATTTACAGTTATGATAAGCATGACAAATTTTTAACCAAAATATATTTACCGTGAGGTTCTTTTTTCTCTGAACATAGGATAATTCATGTATGTTGGGTTGCATATTCATCTTCCAATGGATTGATTTGGACTTTTAAAAACTGAACATAAGATCACAGAAGATTCGTAATAATTGAGGAGTAGGCCATGTCAACGATGACATTTACAGTAAAATTTTTGACGAAATTGTTTTAACCCATTAATGCCCGAGTAATTTTTTTTTTATTATTTTGATAAAAATTAGCAAAACTTAATGCAATAGCCCTTCTAAACACAAACTAGCAAAAAAACAACTTTTTTTTTTTGTTAACTATGTTTATTTTATCGTATGATATTTCATACGCTGGTCAAAAGAGTGTATGTGTAAAAAACTTTTATTGAAAAATTAATAAAAAAATACTACTTTTTTCACAAAATATTTATTATGGTGTGTGGTAGGCTCTAAAACAATGTGCTGGATGGAGGCCTACATTGCACTTAACACATACAAACTTAGCACATTTCCCACAAAAGCCGCATTTTCGTTGAGTACTGTTGCTATCTACCAGGTGATCCACGCCATCGTATCTAATTTCGGGCAAAACGGCTCTAGTACATTTTGGTTTTGGTCCACCCAAATGTGGAGGCGATGAAAGCAAAGCTAAAACTATTCTGCGAACGAATTCTAGTAAACCAAGTTTTGGATGTGCAAATCTATACAGCATCCACATATTTACTACTGCTCCGTTAAAACAAAATCTTACATATGGCCAATACCACTTTTTGGAACGTATGCGAATGCGATAAAAGCCTCTCATTTTATCAAACAAATCAACTCCCCCCATTCCTTGGTTATATATGCTGACCAAAGATGGTTGTTCAATTGACACTGTACTTTTATCCTTTCTAGACCATCGCTTGCACGAACCCTTAGATAAGCATATGTCATTGTTGATTAGGTTTGTTGCTATATTAACTTGATTATTATCATGCCATCCCACCAGTGTAATACTACCTTCCTTCTCTTGTAACACATAAGAACTTCCACGTTTTTCTTTCTTCAGATCTTTGAGAGGCGCTTTATCAATTCTGTCTGCTCGAATTGTACCAACGCAATTTATATCATAAGCTCGAAGATTATGGAGCAATGAAAGGGAATTAAAAAAGTTATCTAGATAAACCGTAAAAAAAACTGTCTTACCTTCTACCGCCCAAGGTATGATTTTTCATACGCAAGCTATTGAATTCAATTTTAGGTAAAAAAAAATGCAAAACATGTGAAAAAAAATCATAAACAAAATCTACAGACTTTATTTTATATATATCGCAAGAAACATGCATGGATTTTTCTCTTGTAGAAAAAATAAAAAATTGTAAACTTACCTCTTACTCATTCTGCAAAAAATGAAGGACACCGTTTTGCAAAAACCAATATGATAATGTAAATTTGTTTTAAACAATCTCCAATGAATAAGCACTCGAAAGACCATTAAAAAAGGTAGAGTTTGATATATTTCAAAAGCCGGTTCGTTGTCTTTTGTTTTAAGTACCTAACCTCAAACAGTCCCGTTCATATGGTATGAAAAATCATACGGTGGGCAGTAATGGGTTAAAAAGGTCAATAACGTAAATTTTCTGTTCTTTAAACTTGAACTTATTACAATACCTTAACATGAAGACAGTAGTGCCAAATGTCAATGGCAATATCTTTGATATATCCTAAATCTCGATTAGATTTTATGTTCAGTTTTTAAAAGTCCAAGTCAATCCATTACAAGCAGGTATGCAACCAACTTAACATTAATTATCCTATGTTCAGAGAAAAAAAAAACCCACGGTACTTATCCCCTCCAAAAAATTGATGACGTCAGCTCAAAAGTTTGCCGAATAAATGTACAAAATATGATGAGTCTGTACTTGTGATTTATCATTCCATTCATATTTTTTGATTTGCATATACAGAGTGACTCAAAAAAATAAATGCTTGAATACTTTAGATGCCAGAGAAGTTCTGTCGAAACAACTTTCGACCATTTTTTTTTTGTATTAAGTAGATACATACTTCTTGACCAAATCCTAAATATTCTTTAGGTTTTTACCCTCATCTCGAAATTCGATGGGAAAAAATGCGAGAGACACATAATTATTTGTTTTCTATGCCTTTTCCTTATAGGAAACATTTTGAATCATACTGTATGTTATTTTACAAACAATGAATATAAGATTCATTTATACATAAGTATAACATCCCTCCGAGATTTCTTTACACTCTCAAATTTCATGTTATTGTGTAAACTTGACCGCTTACTTTGTAGGCACGTGATGCGCACGTGATTAGTCCAACTGTTCGGCGATTTGAGTAGAACAGGGAACGCAATTTTTGCATGAATAAATGATTTATTTATAATGAGTAAGGTTCATTAAAATGTGATTAATTAAAAATTTAAATAATCGGGAGACACTTTGTGGCGATGAATAATTTTAAATACTCAGCTTCTACCCCATTAAAGACATAAAAGTGAAAAAAATTAGAAAGTCTCTTAACACGAAAAGGTAGATATTTGAAACAATGATATTAGTATGGTAAACCGACGAAAATAGTCGTTTTACGACTTTGACTTCTCCAGCGTACGTGTCGACGAATGCTGTTGTTTATTAAATGTACCATCCCAAACTGAAATAGCGGATTTTTATTGTATTTGGCTGACACGCTTCTCCTAAACTGGATCAGCTTTTTTAGCGTTCTTTATTCGCTAACGACGGGTTTGGAAAAGTCAGTATTATAAAGCCATTATTTTCGTTGGAGCACTATACTTTGTATTTGTCAAAACTATACACAGATGGGAATGTAGTAAGCAGATACAGGCATAATGAGATGTGACTAAGAAAAATTATCTTCAAGTTGGCACTGGACAAGCACAAGCTGTTTTCCTTACTGTATGCTACACACGCGGGGTATTCGGTGAAAAAAAACTGATCACACTGGTAAACATGAATTTTGAGTCTGGGTTCTGTATAGCCGATTCTTATTGTTTCAACACTACTAAATAAGGAAATAGTCTTGTATTAGCCAAGGTTGCAAAGACAAGCATTCCAGACCGAGCGCAAATTAGAACCCGAGACGCGCAGCGTCTAAAGTGGCTTTACAACCGTGGTTAATATACTATTTTTTTCATTAGCAGGCATGAAGCAGAGTAGGAACTGTAAAAGACAATAAATTGAAAAAAATGAACCTTCAATTTTTGACGAGAAATGTTTAAGTTCACAAAAAATTATCATAGTAGTCGCTGGTAAAGTGACACTCTTGTTGTATCTCGTAGGTATAGAGTAATATTACTGTAAGAATGGCACTTCATTAAAGCTATGCATCCCTCAATTTAGAGTTCATTTATATTTACGTAATTGAAATAAGGTAACTGAACTAGTGAACTCAATATGGCCTAGTACCCAAAATGGCCCATTGGTTTTTTCTCATACGTTCCAAACAAAATGTGGTAGATCGCCACTGGGATACATTCTGGAACGTTTTTATACCATTTAGGAGCAATCAGTAAAGTAATACACCGTTTCGTTTACTCACAATGGAATTATTTGTGATGGTGATTTCACGAGTCAGTGTGCGTTCTATTTTATGCCGCTAAGTTTTCTCTGGATAGTTTTAATCTCAATTACGTTAGCAATTTCATATTTTTCTAATTGTGTAGTTCCTTTTTTCCGCTTTTAAATGATCTGCTTTAGTTGTATGTACTTCGCTTTCCAGTTAGGGTTACTGATAATATGTTCGTTTGTGATGTGGAATCAATATGGCCTAGGCGGGCTGTTGGCCTGTTGGGTACATACTGCAGTTCTCGTTTGATTTTTTTTGGGAATAAGCTGATGTAAATTATTTTGAACTAAAAGCAAGCTCACAGAAGAAGCAAGAAAATTGTTTTTGCGATATGTATCAAGAAAATATTGTAAAAGATGTGAGAAAATGCTCCGTATGTAAGAAATACGTGCACGAGGAGTGCGTGAATCTCACTAAAAATGATAAAGATATTTTTATTTCTCCTTATTGTGAAAATTAACAATTTGTTTGTCAATAATTTTTTTTTCCGTGCTTATTTTTTTCATGTTGGGTACCTATGTACTTAATTTGGCCTAAAGACACACTTTAATTAAACCGGGTACTGTCGGGCTCTACAATTTTGAAAATATCTGAAATTTGAAAAATTATGTACAAAAATGTAACCTCTTTCAACTCCCACCATTACTCTTCCATTTCTGCATTTCTTAAAATTACGTGTAGCACAAAAATGTGACGTGATGGAAAAATTTGGAGAGCAGATTTGAAATCTACATAAAAAACTGCCTTCAGTGCACACACTTTTATTAAAGGAGTATTTTGGTTGTTGACTATTGAATTGTCAAAGTAGTAATTGTGTTATTAAAATACGACTAAGTAAAAAAAAGCAACACTGTTTTTGATTTGACTGTGTAATTTTTAAAACAATTTATAAGCTTCTCAGACGATCCGAAGAATATAACGTAAAAAAAACTCCATTCATTGAATTCACGATCCACTACTACTTAGTTTTCGCAGTTTTTAGTGAAAACAAATATTTTATGGCTGGACTCTTTATTCACTTTTATAACCATAAACATGACACAAAAATACACTAATCGATAGACTTTAAACATAGATCACAAATACGCTTTTATACAAATTAAATTAGACTTCAGTCGTACGGTATTTACAAAGACCAATAAGTCCCTGACAAGATAAAAATCACATTTAACGTAATTATCAAAATTAATCTTCTAGACATTTCGATGATTCTGGAAATCAACGATATGTTGTAACCGTTTCACTTCTTGTTCCAAGCTTTGTGTCAGGTATTTGAGATGTCGGTTTTCCTCTTCCAGAAACGCGCACCTGATGGCAATTTCATCTCCTTTAGCATTTCGTGCGTCTCTAGACTTTTTCGCGGCCTCGTTATTCTTTCGTCTTTTTTCCAAGTACGTTGGGTCTGCGTTTTTATTTTGTGTATTGGATAACCGGCGCATATTTTGATTAGTTTCTTTGTTAGTCGTCGGCAGTCGTGACAGTACACTATCTCTGAATTCGGTGAAAGCCTGAGCCGAGTCCTTCTGCAGCAGCGTCTCCGGACTAACAAATCCTTGCGCTAACATGAGTGGGTCCTTGGTGTAAGCTTTGAAGGGGCGGCACGCTGTCGTTTTTAAATTGACCGTTTTCATCTCCGAATTGCTTGTCATCTCGCAAGTTTCCGAGTCGCTGTTGGAGACGGGGCTATATTGACAAGTGGCCACATTGTAGACCGGGGGGCGGCGGGCCTTCTTTTCGTCCTGGTCATCGGGAGAACGGGGCCGTTTGCGGGTGCACAGATCCAGCACATCGGGAGACGACAATGATAAATCAGTTGCCATAATTGTATCTGAAAATAATAACAATAAATAAATATCGAGCGACGAGACAAAAAGAAAAACAGCGAAAAAAGTACTAAGTGATAAATTTTGCTTACGTTTATTTAGATCCAACTGTTGAACTGACTACACAATTTGAACTGCAATGTTCGGAAACTATCGACGAAGTAAATGCAGAAGTGATAACGGACTTATGAAATCTTCTGCGACTTGCGAGTGACCAATGGGGAGACCCTTTTCCAAAATGTAACCTCCTTCAACTCCCACCATTACTCTTCCATTTCAAGTTCTTACAAAAATTAAAAAAATTCCCAAAGCTTAGGTAGGCTATGTAGGGTACATACAGTGAGCTTATCCTCTACTACGTCACAAAACACTGGATTTTCGAACGGAGAGTAATTTTTACCTGCATTATAGGGTCTAAGAACGCGGTAAGGGAGCACTCAGGTAGTGGGCGCAATTCGGACATTTTTCGAGTGGTAAAAGGGCGCAACTCCTATCTTTTTCAGGTCATGTGCGCAATTCGGACTCCCCCGTGTTATCCAGCGCCACCAAGAGGACTCGTTACCTGAAAACCCAAGTAAATACTTGTGTCAGGTGCAGGTATCATAAAATAATAAATCGTCGTAGATAATGACGTTAATCCGTTTGTTAGAAAAACTGATAACTACCTAGAACTTCTTGCGTTCAAACGACGCGATGTGGAAACTAGAAGGCTAGGCTAGATAGGAGAGACCGACGAGTTTTCGGAATATCATTGTATTATTAAAAAATATAGAGTGTTGGCGTTCAGCTCGTACATACGTTAGCTAAAGTTGAGTTAAAGTTGATTATTGATGAAGCGGTAGAAAAACACACTGCTCCTCTGATGGAATTAATTCGCCAACTTTCGAATCGAATCGACATACTAGTGGGAATTAATGAAAATTTGACTCGATCGGTTAATGATCTAAAAGAAAATAAATTTAATAAAATTAAATTGGATTCCTCACTGATGTCCACAGATAGTGGAGATACTGTTGACAAGGGCGCCGCGGCAAAAATCGCTAGAGATAACAGGTACCCGAAAAAAAGGAACAAAGTAATGAAATGCAAGACTCAAGTGGACAGAAGCGTGGTAAGCAGAAAATTTCCGTTATACGTGGCATAGGAGAAGATATTCCTCCCGATTTTGATGTTTCGCAGTTTTCGGCCGCAGAGAAAAAAGCATGGGTGTACATAGGCCGATGTAATCAGGGTTCAACTGTAAATGGACTGAAAAAATATCTAGGTCACAAATTGCCCAAGATATCAACTAACAATTACGACATATCAATTATATCTCATGAAGACTCCAAATTTATATCGTTCAAGCTTGGTTTCCATTTCGACTTACAACCACAAATTATGGATTCAACTTTCTGGCCAAAGAACGTAATAATTAAGAGATTTCGCTTTTTTCGAAATACCCATACAAGTAATGCAAAAAATGCAACCCCCAGATTCGAGTAATTTACAAGAACACAGCCTAAAAATAATTGTCCAAAATGTCCAATCTATAGTTTAAATGATTATAAACTCTGTGCTTCCATCTGCAGACCTAAAAAAAAACATGGTGGGGTAGCTATTTTCCGTAAGTGTGATATAAAGTGTAAAACTTTGACCGTGACGATGAATTTTTTTTTAATAAACATATTTGAGTGTTGTGCGATGGAAACTGAAAGTGACGATGTTGTCATTATCGCGATCTACCGCCCTCCATCTGGTAGTTCCTCTGGAAATCAACTTTTTCTTGAGAAGTGTGATTCCATGTGTGAATATTTCTGCAAGTCTCGCAAGCAAGTTATTATCTGCGGTGATTTCAATATTGAATTTAACAAGAAGTCTGCCAATTCTCGTGAGTTCTTTGACCTCTTAAATGTGTATAACTTCAACATTGGTACTACCAAACCAACAAGAGCTTCCAACTGTATTGATAATGTTTTAATTAATAATTTCGCGAATGTTGTAAAAACGGACGTCATTGTTAATAATATTTCAGATCATCATGCTGTAATGGTGAAGATAAAAAGTGATCGTAAACTTGATAAAACACCAATACCAACGACGAGAATTTTCTCTGAAAAAAATATAAACATATTTTGTAATTTGTTAGCCAATGATAAGTGGAATTTTGTATTATCAACATATGATTGCGACGATGCTTTTAGTTTGTTCTTAGATATACTTCTGGAAGATTTTAACTCATGTTTTCCATATCAGAAAATCCGTCGTACCACTATCAACTGTAAGAATGTTAAAATATCAACGCCATTAATACGTGAACTCAAAGAAAAAGTTTCGCTTTATGGAGACCTAAGCAGGATGTATCCGGAATTTAAGCCCTTATATACATTAGTGCAAACAAAAAATACAAAAGTGCCTTAACTAGTAACAAAAAAACAGCTAATGACTAATAATTAACAGAGCAAAAAATAAAAACGAAGCAGTTTGGTCCGTAATTAACAAATCTATCGGCAAAAATACAAAAAGGGTAGTGCAAGATAATTCACAACGATAATATTTAAGTAATATTGAGGCCGCAGAATTGCTCAACGATTTTTTCAAATACACCCCAAAAAACACTACGGCACATCTTTCGAAAAATAATGCTCCTAATTTATCATTTTTAAAAGAAACTTGCCCAAGTTGCCGTAATTCATTATTCTTACAAGGAGTGTCTCAGGAAGATATACTATATTTAATAAAAAAATTAAAAAATTCGAACGCAGTAGGTGACGACAATGTGTCTAATGTTATGTTAAAAAGAATAGCGTCTCATATTGTGAAACCTCTTACACACGTATTGAATTTATCACTGCAAACGGGTGTATTTCCAAGTAGGCTAATGTGATACCGCTCCTTAAAAAAAAAGGATCCCCCTACGATATTGCTAATTACTGATTATGAAATTTAGATTTTTTTTCAATCCATGAAATTCACAATGATTTTTTGAAATTATGTAATATTTACTGTAAATATTATATTACAACTGTTGCGACACTGTGGTTTAGAAGTCACGCCCTTGGACTCGTTCGTTCTGCATTCCCTTTAATAACTGTCTATTCGTACGAGTAGAGTTCCGCTATAGATATAGTGTGTTTACGACTAGACTCCATAAGTATTTTACAGCGGATCCCCCATAAAATTCAATAAATAGACAATAGGAGAGTGTCAGGCCAGGCAAACATATTTATAGCAGCCAACTTTGACGAAGTTGTAAAATTTACCCCAAGGTGAGTAGCATTTAAGCACTATATTTTTCGCTATACTCTACTATAGTCTATTTCCGAAATGTGCGCAAATTTTAGTAAATCTGCCGACAATCAGAGTGGAAATACTATGCGAAGAACATGTTGAATTATCATAATCAGTTATGCATTTACCAGTAGCGTATCATTTGCGCTCTGCAGTACGAACATTTTAAGAAATACATTTTTAAATTTTTATTTATTTTTTAGATTAACTAAATATAATTATTATGCTTGTAAAGGCATAAATTACAAGATCTCATAAAGTATGAGACGAAACGAAACGCTGTTAGGTTAAACTACGAAGAAATCACAAAACAGCGTAACGAACGTCACTGGCGATACAGTAGAATTTCGTCCTAGATTCGTAAATTTTTAACTTACGTGTTTCCCTAAAGTGTTTCCAGTCAAATATTTTTTTAATTTGGACAGTTATTGATTCCTTTATATTTACATATACCTGTCACAATTTAAGATTTATAGCTTTTTTCAAATTTTAAATTAAATGAATCCCTAACCCTATTACTTTAAGATAGTTGTAATTTTGTAGGGTACGACAAAAATTTTGGTCCGTTTACGATTTTGACTTCATAGGCGTTTTACAATAGATCCCTGACAAAATTCAATAAATGCAGACACGTTACTGTCGTTTCGTTTAGGTTAGGATATAGCTCACAACATTATATAGATCCCATGATACAAGAGGCTGATCCTGAATTAACAAACGGGTAGATTCAAAAGACACTGTAACTTTATCAGTTAATAGGATTTACCGCATCTCCACTCCATTGTCAGGAGCTCAATATTATCATAAAATTTTATAATTTGTAACTGTCAGTCTTACAGTATGAGAGGTCTTCCCACGACAACCGATTTACTCCACCTTATTATTGTGACGAACTCATAATTATCAATTATTAACGCAAGTAGTAACAATTAAGTTATCACCAACGCGCGGAATTGTATCTCATACGCTAGATCCAGTGCTGTCGCGTCGATAGTTTGGTTACAAATATATTTTTATTGTGGACTATATCAACGTAATATAACATTTCAAGATCACAAATTTGTGGTCCTGTGGTTGAAAAATTAAAAAGGGCATCGAGTATTATTATTTGAAGTAATATAGTAATATAGAAGTAGTTTTTTTACTAGCTGTAAACACTCCTAGCGACGCACTGGCTACAGCCTTGTGGACCAGATCAAAGCGTCCCCGGTACTCGCCGTAAAACACACCTCTTACTTCAACTGGGGGATTGCAGCGGCGAGATAGATCCCGCGTACTGGTTATCAATATCACTGTACTATACCGTTCGGGGAACTTTATCTTCTCATTAAGTCCGGTACCTGCAAGAAGTATTGAAAATCTTACCTACCTTTTTTAATCCCTATTTTGGCTGGTGTTGACTCGACTGTGACGTAGGATTTGCGTGAGGACATGAAGCCGGCCTAAGTATACTGCTCCCATGTAATTCTAATTAGCTACCTGCTATCAAGACGGTGGCTAAGAAAAGCAGTTTCTCCGCGTGCATGATTTTTACTTCCCGAACGTAAGCTAAGGACGTATTGTAAATATTCATATTTTCTAAATGGTCTCCCGTTTCCGTCTGTCTATCTGTCTCTCTGTCCGTAATCTCCGAAACTGCCGAACCGATTGTTCTGAATTTTTTTTATGTATATTAGGAATATCATGTAGATAGTTAAACACTAACCAAAATTTGGCCAATCATCCCCACTACCAATGGAATGACGTCGTCTTCAAAATTTATAATATTACATTTTTTTAAATTTTATAAAATAACATACTCTTATATGTGTGATCTGTGAATCCACGTCGAATTTTACCCCAGACATTCAGAATTTTTCGAAAAAAATTCAAGACCGTATAACAATATTTTGCAATTTAACTTTAAAACTGCAAAACCAAATACTTTGAACTCTTTCAAATATTTTAAGGCCATCGTAATCATGATAACTTGTTAAGCGAAATTTATTCATTTACCTGTATGTGTATCCAAAATGTGCAAAATATGATAAGTTTATACTTGTAATTTATCAGCGTATTAAAAGTTTTTTAATTTCTTATACAGGGTGACTCAAAAAAATTAATGAATGAGTCAGTCTATATTATTGATTAAATCGGGAAGGGCTCACTCTATTTTCCCCCAAAATTTGTAAATACAATACTGTTATCATTAGTATTACACTGAATCTATCCAAAGTGATATACGTGTTTCTACAAAAATGTTGATTACGTCATCACAAAATTTTGTTATTTTAACGTTACATACATATCTTTATTTTAGCTTCTAATGGTCGTCGTAAAAAAATAAAATTGGCATAATCAACTTTTATAATTTTGCGAAAAAGCTGGATTTGATTGATTGTACTTCAGGTGCGAGGGAAGTTCTGTTGAAATAACCTTCGGCCAATTTTTTCTCTGAATTTTTAATGTGACAATTAACAATTAATCATAACATTCTAGATATACTAACATTTAAAGTACAATTTTATCTGGTGGATCCAGTCTTATTTTGTCACAAAAAAATGAAGAATGTTTTTTTAATCAACTTTTTTTATTTGGGGTGGTGTGGGTAAACTGCAATGTCAATTGGTATATTTATTACTTGAGGCATACCAACTTATATTATGGAAAATTCTTTCACTAAAATTTAAAGCCATCAGATTTGAAATGAGACAAATGACAACTTTAATTAATTTCAAATGATCCAAAATATTAGTTCTTTACAGAAAACTTTCCTCAGTCCTGAAGCACAATTATTTAACTTTTATAATTCGTACGCTTTAAAGGTAATATGTAGCATGTAAAGGCAAAAAGTAAAAACGTACCATTGTTCCTCGTGTCAGAGGGAGCAGGAACAACATTCGGGTGCAAAATGCACTTCTTTATACATTTATAATAACATTTTTTCTAGAGCTATCATTTTTCAAGCGGAATTTGAAAGAAGTGGATTTGATTCAGGTTTTTGAACTGCTTTCAAGTTCAAAGTGTCAATTGTAAAACTCTTAAAACGAATAACCAAATATGGTGGATAACGTGCATGGAGTAGTTATCAAATTTTATGGATATATTTTATAACCAGGGAAGAAAGTTGATTTTTCTTATTCACTCAGGCACATCTACGAATTTTTATGCAAAATCAGTGTATACTATAAAACTTAAATTTGTGATTTATGGCTACAAAATTAAAAAACTGGGGAAAAGGACTCGATGAAACATAGTTTTTACAATCACTAAAGTACCGTAATTTCCCACTTATTGATGAAAATCCGAACTAAGTTAAAAGTCGCTTGATATACCATTCGTCATGATTTGATGGAATGACCCAACAATTTTTCGACAAAGCGGAAGATAAAAAATCCATTGCAATTTATTTGTAGTTTAATAATTGTCAAAATAATAATTGTGTTATTAAAATACGACTAAGTAAAAAAAAGCAACACTGTTTTTGATTTGACTGTGTAATTTTTAAAACAATTTATAAGCTTCTCAGACGATCCGAAGAATATAACGTAAAAAAAACTCCATTCATTGAATTCACGATCCACTACTACTTAGTTTTCGCAGTTTTTAGTGAAAACAAATATTTTATGGCTGGACTCTTTATTCACTTTTAAAACCATAAACACGACATAAAAATACACTAACCGATAGACTTTAAACATAGATCACAAATACGCTTTTATACAAATTAAATTAGACTTAAGTCGTACGGTATTTACAAAGGCCAATAAGTCCCTGACAAGATAAAAATCACATTTAACGTAATTATCAAAATTAATCTTCTAGACATTTCGATGATTCTGGAAATAAACGACATGCTGTAACCGTTTCACTTCTTGTTTCAAGCTTTGTGTCAAGTATTTGAGATGTCGGTTTTGCTCTTCCAGAAACGCGCACCTGATCGCCATTTCATCTTCTTTAGCTCTTCGTGCGTCTCTAGACTTTTTCGCGGCCTCGTTATTCTTTCGTCTTTTTTCCAAGTACGTTGGGTCGGCGTTTTTATTTTGCGTATTGGATAACCGGCGCATATTTTGATTAGTTTCTTTGTTAGTTGTCGGCGGCAGTCGTGACAGTACACTATGTCTGAATTCGGTGAAAGCCTGAGCCGAGTCCTTCTGCAGCAGCGTCTCCGGACTAACAAATCCTTGCGCTAACATGAGTGGGTCCTTGGTGTAAGCTTTGAAGGGGCGGCACGCTGTCGTTTTTAAATTGACCGTTTTCATCTCCGAATTGCTTGTCATCTCGCAAGATTCCGAGTCGCTGTTGGAGACGGGGCTGTATTGACAAGTGGCCACATTGTAGACCGGGGGGCGGCGGGCCTTCTTTTCGTCCTGGTCATCGGGAGAACGGGGCCGTTTGCGGGTGCACAGATCCAGGACATCGGGAGACGACAATGATAAATCAGTTGCCATAATTGTATCTGAAAATAATAACAATAAATAAATATCGAGCGACGAGACAAAAAGAAAAACAGCGAAAAAAGAACTAAGTGATAAATTTTGCTTACGTTTATTTAGATCCAACTGTTGAACTGACTACACAATTTGAACTGTAATGTTCGGTAACTATCGACGAAGTAAATGCAGAAGTGATAACAACGGACTTATGAAATCTTCTGCGACTTGCGAGTGACCAATGGGGAGACCCTTTTCCAAATTTGTGTTCGCCCCCACTCTGAAAATTGCATGGTCAAGGTTGGAACATTGTGGTGGGGTTTGGTGCAAATCTAGGTGGTGTCTTACGTTTAATTTTGCAACCACTGTAACTGTTACCACCACCCCAGGCTTTGTTATTCTTTGGGTTGGGATATGGAGGTTGAGCAAGAATAAATTTGAACTTCTCTGAAAACTCGATTTTTTGTGTTTGGAAAAAACATAAATTTTGTTTATTACTGTTTTATTTACTTATAGTCAACATATTTTCTAAAATTAAAAAATAATAATAAAACCTTTTTACTCACATTTTAATCCGTCTTCTATAATTAGGTTGCGGGTAGTCAACACGTGACATATGAATAAAAAAGTCATTGATACTGGTGAATGAAAGTTATTCTAAAATATATTTTCATTTAATAAATTTTGCTGAAAGAGGTTTTTCTACAGAAATTTTGATAAAAAATGTCTTTGGAACTGCAATCTAGAATGTTAGCTTTTTATTTCAATTTTTAGCATCAAAATGATATTTATTTTTATGATTTTGAAGCAGAATTTCGTTGCTTTTCTGTGTTTACTCGAAAATTACAAAGACGTAGAGTACGTTACGTGTGAATTATGACACCAGAAGTAATTTTGGAATAAAATAATTTTGTGTTGTTATTAAATACCTAGATTTAGTAGGTACTGCTAATGACTGACTTTACTAAAAACACTTTGCTAATAAGTTTGTTGCCCAATAGTACGACAACTGATTTTTTAATTATAACAATTCCTCTTACATTTATATTTAAGAGAGCTAACAGCAAAATTAAAACTTTCATAGGATTTAATGACGAAATCAATAATTTGGACATACGGTATCTGCTTTGTAAGAGATGTTTACGTCTGCTTCCGGCTTCACTGCTTTCCTTGGCTCATTTTAATTTCGCTTCTATGTATAAATATGTTTATTCCTACACAGACGGGTAATAAATATTATTTAACATAAGTTGACACTTTTATGATAATCCTATGGCGAATTCTTTGTAGTGTGTCAGGCAAGTGTTCGCTATATACCTGCAATTGTAAAGGATTAGGATAAATTAGTTTTCAAAATGACTTTCTTAGTAACATGAACGAAGTAGAATTTTCCGGCTAGACTATCTAGGGTGCACTAATGAGGCCCAATAGGTTTATTTGTAATGTAGAGTTTTGTAAATTGTTCTATATACTTTTCATTTTATACTTTCGATTTTAACGTCTAATGTGTATATGATAATAAATAAACCAAGCATTGTTGTTCACCCTATTCAAAAATTCTTTAAACAAAAAATTAAATTTGTGTTTAAGGCCAAATCGAGTGAGCCTTTCATGTCACGATTCTTTATATTAAAGTATAGCTGGATTATTTTCTTTATCGCACTTTATAGTACTAAATTTGTTGGACATTATTTGAATACCTAAATTATAAACTATACTTTGAGTCGTTATTATGATGGCGAATTTTAAAGAAAAATTGAGTATGATACGAAACCAAAAATACTAGGTGACGATATGCAATGTAGAGATTATACTTGCAACAGGTAGTACATAAGAGACGGGGTCTAAAATTTAACACGGGAGTCCCTATCATCACTTTTAGAAAAAGATGCACTGTGTATGTAAAAATGGTGTGTAATTTTTTTTAGTATAGATAGTTCCAGAAAATTTTGAGAAATTATGTATTAGTAGTAATTATAACAAAAAAAAAAAAAAAAATAGTCGACACAACTTCTCTCGCCTCTGAACTACAATAAAATATGTCCAGCTTTTTCGAAAAATTACAAAATTTGATTCTGCGACTTTTATTTTTTTGTATGAAAACCCCTGTAAGATGACATAAACATATGTATGTAATATTAAAGTAAATGTAAAGACGCATGCTACCTGTATGTCTGAATAAAATTTAAAACTCACCATATTTTGTACATTTTAGGTAGAATTTATTCGGCAAAATTTTCGGATGATGTAATGCATTTTTTGAGGGGGATAAACAGATACATTTTGATTAAAAATTGACCATGTTTACAATAACTTCAAAACGTATGCAAGATTTCAAAGCATTTGGTTTTGCAGTTCCTGATTTAATCAATAATCACCCTGTATAAGCAAATCTAAAAATTATGAATGCAATGATGAACCACCAGTAAAAACTCATTATATTTTACATATTGTAGATAGGATTTATTCGGCAAAATTTTCTGGTGGGGAGGAACAGATACATTTTGATCAAAAAATTATCATGCTTACAATAACTTCAAAATGTCTGCAGATTCAAAACCAAATTGTACAATTTTGTTATATAATTTAAACTTTTTTTTTACAAAAATCAGAATGTTTGGGGTAAAAACTCAACACGGATTCATAAACTACACGTGTAGGACTATGTTATTTTATATAATTTAGAACCCATTTACTAGGTACAATTTTGAGGTGACCTCATCACATTATTGGTGGGACGATTAGACAAAGATTGGTTAGCGTTTTACCATCTACATGATATTCATAATATGTACACATAAAATTTGACAACAATTCGTTCAATAGTTTCGGAGTTTACCTGTCTAACAAAAATCGTCACGAACGGCGGACAGATAGAAAGACAGAGAGACCGATAGACAGACAGAAACGGGATACCCATTTTTTCGTACTCTATGAAATCTCTATCGAGAAAATTTGAAAGCAACCAGAGAATGTTATTATTAAAATTTAATTTTAATTTATGAAATTGTACATTTTAGAAATGACGTCATCGCATTATTGGTGGGACGATTAGACAAATTTTGTTCAGCGTTTTATCATCTACACAATATTCCTAATATACATACAAAATTTGAAAACAGTCGATCCGGGTTAGTATAAGATGACAGTGAACTACGTTTATTAATTTAGCTCGTGAAGGTGATATCGGTTTGTCGAAATTTGTGGTGTTGTGGGGACAATAACGAGTTTATGTTTAAAAAATTGACATCTATGAAAATAGTAGGACGTGCAATCTGTGAAATGTTTAGGCAACTATGACTAGTATGACGTCAGTGGGAAGGCCTTTAAATGGTAATTACTTGTTAAAGATCTGTCATAGAAAGCTAGCGTTTGTATTAACAGCAATTTTGTTTATATTTGACAATTAATAATAATCTTTCAATTTATCATTGCTTTTATAGTGCTGTAATAACTTTTTTCTTTCATAACCGTGGTAAAAGTGCCTACTAGAATCATAATATCTTTGTTGACATTTTGATGCTAGTCAACCAACATCTACACTAAATTTGTAACCAAGAATGCGTAATTTTGAGTATATGTACACACGGAAATATCTTGTTGTTCTGGTATCTGACAACATAAACAGAGCATTTATCGGTAAAGTAAAAGATAACAAATTTTAGAATAGTATTAAAATGCAATTATAGTTATATCAATATTACGTCAAGTTAAGAGTACTGTTTGTGTAATAAATCATCTGTTTGCAATGACAACTGAGTCTCCTTAAATAATTATCTCGAATCTTTTATGCAAATCTGGAAAGGCTTATGCTTTTGTGTTCTTTGGCTTCTGGGAAACTTTCTCTGCGCATTTGCATAAAATTTAGGTAAAGGGGGTAAAGTCGTGAAAATGTCTCAGGTCTTAAGCGCTATGATTTATAGACGTTGCAAAAGTTCCGTTAGAAACAGTAAAACCGAAGGGGGTTGCACCACGTAAATTCGGTCAAAACTGGCAAATCTATGTCAACCCTTCGTCATTGTGACTCACCCACTTTTAGCCGCCCTCGCCTACACAAATAACTTTGAAAGTAGGAAGATATTGAATATGTTTCAACCCTTCCGCTTCCGCAAATCTCGACATGTGTGCATCGCATGTGAACCAAAATTGTCAGTCAACAGTTTTGGAACGTTTTGCGATTGTAACGGGAAAATAAATGCAAATGGCTCTTTTGGGACTTTAAAAACTTTCTAACTGTTTTTTATGACGGGGTGGCTGTAAAAAAGGGCGCTAAGGTTATAGCCGCACTGGGGCAGACAGTTATTCGAATTTACATAATACTGACACCATTAAAAAACTATTAGATGCAACAAAACTATTAAGTTTGGAAAAATAAATGACGCAAAATTTGAAAGTGTTTCAGTTTCAAGGTGGGTTACGTAATTGTGGCTTTAGTGACCAGATTTTAATCTTGGTGAACAAATTACGACAATTATCTTATTTTCTGTTGTGCGTAATATGTACATATGCCTAATTGTGTTCAAGAAATAACAAGTTTTCTCGTTGTTGTTGCTTAGTTTATGAGTGGAGTTGTGGTATAATGAATTCTAGAAATTGGTTAATCTCGCATAAAATCATTAGTCGAAAATAATACATTTTATACTTGGATTTAGTTCTTAAGTACATAAAGGAGCGGTAACGGTACAAATGTCATTGTTGCTTTAGTCTAAATTAAACGGACACTATTATTCCTTGATTACTTTTCACAGAAATAGTACATTATGTTGATTAAGCAGGTTAGCAACCAGGTGCGTCGTTATACACAGGGTATAACGACGGTATTTTTCTGTAGATGATTAATAAATTACCCTACTTAGGACATTTGTTAATCTTTATTTGGAAAACGTTAGTTTGAATAATAGTCATTCCAGATACGTTAAAGTATTTTTGTTTATGTACAGAAATAAGATATACAAGAAATCATTGTTCTAAACGAAATCCTTACCTACCAATACTCGCTGTTAAAGGAATCTTTATAATAAAAAAAAAATTGGTCTAAAGAGTTTAGACAGTACTTCCCTCGCTGTCGGAAACGTGATGACTGCATGCTTAGTATGTTTTTTTTTCGCAGTGGATTTCAAAGAATTCGGTTTTGTAGTTCCTGAGTAAATCAATAAAATAAATTTACGCATTCATTAATTTTTTTGAGTCACCCTGTATATGCAAATCCAAAAAATATCAATGGAGTGATAAATCACAAGTACAGACTCATCATATTTTGTACAGTTCAGATAGGATTTGCTCAGCAAACTTTCGAGTTAATGTCATCAATTTTTTGGAGGGGATAAGCAAATGTATTTTGACTAAACATTTATTATGCTCTTTATAACCTTAAGATATCTGCAAGATTTCAAAGCATTCGGTTTTGTAGTTCCTGATTAACTCAATAAAATAAATTCACGCATTCATTAATTTTTTGAGTCACTCTGTATATGCAAATCGAAAAAAATTGATTGGAATGATAAATCACAAGAAGAGACTCACCATATTTAGTACATTTTAGATAGGATTTATTCAGCAAATTTTGTGGTGACGTCATAAATTTTTTAGGGGGTACGACCAAATACATTTTGATAAAAAATTTACCATGCTTATGATATTTTAAAACATCTTAAAGATTTCAAAGCATTCGGTTCTATAGTTCCTGAGTAAATCAGTAAAATAAATTTACGCATTCATTAATTTTTTTGAGTCACCCTGTATATGCAAATCCAAAAAATATGAATGGAGTGATAGACCACAAGTACAGACTCATCATATTTTTACAGTTTAGATAGGATTTATTTGGCAAACTTTCGAGCTGACGTCATCAATTTTTTGGAGGGGATAAGCAAATATATTTTGACTAAACATTTATTATGCTCTTTATAACCTTAAAACATCTGCAAGATTTCAAAGCATTCGGTTTTGTAGTTCCTGAGTAAATCAGTAAAATAAATTTACGCATTCATTAATTTTTTTGAGTCACCCTGTATATGCAAATCCAAAAAATATGAATGGAGTGATAGATCACAAGTACAGACTCATCATATTTTGTACATTTCAGATAGGATTTATTCGGCAAACTTTTGAGCTGACGTCATCAATTTTTTGGAGGGGATAAGTAAATATATTTTGACTAAAGATTTATGATGCTCTTTATAGCCTTAAAACATCTGCAACATTTCAAAGCATTCGGGTTAGTAGATTCAAAAGTAAATTTCAAAATGTTTTATAATTTTGCTTTTTTATCCAAAAATCTGGACGTTTCGAGTGAAAACTCAATTCGGAGTTGTAAA